TCCCTTAATTTCCCTTAAAATTATTGATGATATAAGAACACAAATCGATAGCGTGGTGCACTTGGGCAAAAATGTCTTCCTTTTTTCCAACCACGTTAGTATCCAATAGTTCAAAGCAAAAAGAGAGAAATGGTTAACTTTGTTTACCTAGAGGCTGAGACTCTTCTCATCGAAAGTAATAGAGTTATTCTGCTAACCGTATAAGTTGTTAGTATATACTAACTAATATCCAAAATGTATGAACTAGTATTCAAGTTTGCTGATTTTACTAAAGTATCTAGATAGCACAAACTAGCATTCAAAACATCACAAAACTAGTATCCAACTCACATAATTAGTATTCAGCCAATCAATTACCAACTAATATTCACAATCAAACCAACTAGTATTCAATATTGATACTCTTATGTGTTATCTGGATAATAATTATGTGTTGTATGGATACTATTATGTGTTGTCTAGATATTAGTTTGTGAATTTGGGATAATAGTTGATTCATGGTGGATATCAGTTAGCAAACCTTGAATACTAATCTGTGCTCTTTAGATACTTTAGTACTTGAATACTAGTTCATGTATTTTAGATATCAGTTAGTATCTGCTAACAAATCTTCAAGTTAGCATATTAACTTTTTCGCATCGAAAGATATGGACAGAGCTTTAACTGGTTGTGGAAACCGAAGGAGCGTTGCCGCTTAATAAATAAAAAAAATACAGAATGAAAGCGTTTGACAGTTGGGAAAAAATGCCCTCCAGTGAAAGATGGAGAAGCCATAAGGGTATACGTGGCAAATTTGATAAAGAGTAAAATGTATAATGCAAGTGTTTGATTTGACGATCCTTGCAAAATCTCTTTCAATAATCCCTTTTCCCGTTCGATGTTGGACTCTTTATCCACCAATGGGGTGCTGAAGCCTGAAAGGGTAATGGAAATATGGAATCCGATAGTGGAACGGATCGATGAAGAGATGTGGATTCTGACCTCATCGCAATATTCTCGCCCTCCAATCGCCAATCGCCATATGCGAGATAGTTATATGAGGAGACAGCAGAGCTTCGGCAATTGACAAATTGCTTCAGCGGAAAAAGGGGTGTGGGTTAGAGATTCGTGAAGATGATTTGATTCTGCATCTCCGTGTATTTGTTGGGTGATTGACGTAGAAATAAGAATTTGGGTATTACAATTTCAGCTCCAGATTTGGGATGGGAATCCAAAATCATCGTCGTCGATGATATATACACGATTCACCCATGGTAGGACTATGGCGATATGACTCGATTGGCTGTGGAGCTACGTGGGTTGTCGATACTATTGCGATACTTGTCGCTTCACTGGTCGACGGAAGTTCAACTGATCGACGGCGTTTTGCAGGTGTTCTCCTTGCATAGCAAGACCCGTTCTGGGAATGGGAATGAAGCGGCGATGGTGGATTGGGTCATTGGGTTTTTTTTAGTTCTTATGTGAAAAATAATTATATTTTAAGTTAGGGGCATATAGTCATTTCACCTCCCAAATAACAGTGAACTAACGGAAATTCTAACAGAAGAGTAAATTTGTTATGTTTTCATAATTTAAGGTTAGATTTGTGCAAAAACGTTTTAGAGAAGTATGTTTGTTAACTTGCAATAATAAAGAGGTATAAAATACTATTATCCTGAATTTATTTATCCATCTATCTATCTATAAAAATATTAAAAGGTTTTAAGATTTAGACCCCTACTACATCAGTCTTGAGCTAAAATTATGCATCGATGTCAACATCACTAAGAGACAAAAAAATTTCGTTTTTGTTTTCCAAAACTCCGAAACATAGCAACGCTTGGTATTAAAAAAAAAAAACCAATTCCCCATTTTCCTTTACTTTTACAATTTTCCAGTTTTAACCAGATTAAATGAGAGAGCCGAAATAGAGGGATGGGGTCGTGGGTAGGGCTGCAAATGAGCCAAGCCGCTCGCGAGCAACTCGGCGTTCGAATCGGAAAAAACTCGTTCGACACTCGACTCGTTATTTAACAAGCCGGCTCGCGAGCCAACTCGTTAGTTAACGAGCCAAGCCTGAGCTAGACCATGCTCAGCTTGATAAGCTCGCGAGCTAGCTTGATTCGGTGGCTTGTCGAGCTAAGCTCGCGAGCTGCCTTGTTTTGAGCTTGGAGAAGGATGAATTACTCTTTTAAACATGAACATTGTCTTCTAATACAGATGTGTATGAAATTTTGATGTTATTTATAGTTTCTAGTGTTCTTTCTATCATTTAAATTCTTATGTTTATACATTTTTCCAGCAAAAATGACTTTAAATCGAGTTCATCTTGAGCCGAGCTTGTACTCAGCTTGACAAGCTATGTTAAGGAGAATTTATCGAGCTCTACCGAGTCGAGCTCGAGCTAGAATAGTTTTATTCAAGCCGAGCTCGAGCTCGAGCTGGATTATCAAAATTCGAGTTCGAGCCGAGCTCGAGCTGGAAAATTAATAAACGAGCCGAGCTCAAACTAAGCAAAAACTCGACTCGACTCGGCTCGTTTGCAGCCCTAGTCGTGGGCCTATGACATGATGGGAGCGGTGAGGAACCAAGGATAAATATTGTTATTATTTTGATGTTAATGTATCTATTACAACTAAATTGGCATTTTCCCATTTTTATGAATATTTTATACCAAAAGCATTTTAATTAAGATGTTTGTGGTTGTTCATATGCGAATTTATACATGTAGAAAAAAGTTCAAGTTTTAAATTTTATTTCCCAAATAGAAGGATATTTCATATAAATCCTAAATTCATGGTTTAAACTGTATAACCTAATCAATTTTTACCATCAAACAAATTTGTTGGGTTATAACTTATAACACATAAGCTTGTCAACTATCATCATGCGAGTGAGTATGATGATGCGTTTACTAATCACGTGAGAGTGGAAAAAATTTTAAACTATTTTGATGCTACTTATGAAAAGAATAATTTACAACTATAATTTACACGAGAAAACGTACGAATATAGGATACCCTAATCTTCGCACAATTTTGAATAACACATTTACAAAATTTCTACAATGACATCAATAGAATAATTGAAATGTCATATTAGAATTGATTACGGTTAAAGAAAAATGAAACTCACCCACCGAAGGGGCGGGCTTAAAACTAGTAATAATAAAAAGACTTCAGTCGTCCACTTTCTGGAACAGTGCCGGTCGGGTTCTTAACCTTAGAGGGCCACATTCGGCCCAATTCAGTTAAATAACTCGCATGCGGTTTCCCCACCAGGCCACCACTTATCTCCCCTCTTCAGGCCCAAGCCGCGTCACCTTTTCTTCTCAAATCAATTAGTATTTAGTCGCCGCGCCGAAGGCTCCAGTTCCACTACTCCAGAGTCCAGTCCTTCGCAGGAACTCCATTACCACGTTACTACTAGTCTTAGTCTGGATTTCTATTCGTCGCCCTAAGTTTTTGAATTTATCGCCCTAAACTTACCTACATGGACGAGTTTACCCTCATCTAATCTAAACCCTAACCCTGCCGTCACTTACCCTGTTCTCCCAACCCAAAAATCAACCCAGGCCCGCCGCCAGCATCGCCCTCACCAACTGATACCCAGACCCGCCGCCAACATCGCCCTCACCCAGAAGAAAAAACCTCCGCCACCCGCCGCCAGCATCGCCCTCACCCACCCAGCGGTTCACCCTCCGCCACCCGCCGCCAGCATCGCCTTCACCCAGCAGCGCTTCACCCTCCGCCGTCGCCGCTAGCATCACCCTCACCCAGACCCGTCGCCGCCGTCAACCAGACCCCTCGCCCAGACTCGCCTTCACCCAGCAGCGCTTCACCCTCCGCCGTCGCCGCCAGCATCACCCTCACCCAGACCCGTCGCCACCGTCAACCAGACCCTCGCCTAGACTCGCCTCCACCACCAAGACTCGTCGCCGCCACCCAGATCCGTCGCCGCCAGCATCTTCGCCCAAGCCCAGAACCGACGCACTGTCGCCGAGGAGGAAGGAGAAGCCTCCAAATCATCGCCCGCCCCTAGCCCTCTGCTTCTGCTCAGACCCGCCGAAGGTAAATCTCTCCCTCTCCCTCTCCCTCTCCCTCTCTTGGATATTTCTTGAGGAGAAATTCAGTTCTTGAGTTACGCCGACGTCGCGGGTTGAAAACCCGTCGCCAGTGGCCAGAGGCAGGTAGGGCGTCCGATTAGGGCCTGGGTAGACGCAGGCAGGGCACCCGCGCGGATCCGGCAGAGCCAGGAAGCCCACCTGCTCCGACCCTGGTCCGATCCGGTCTCTGACCCGCCCGGACCCTGGCCCGATCCGGTCTCTGACCCGCCCGGACCCTGGCCCGATCCGATCTCTGCCCCGCCCGGACCCTGGCCCGATCCGGTCTCTGCCCCGCCCGGACCCTGGCCCGATCCGGTCTCTGCCCTGCCCGGACTCTGGCCCGACCCATTTCACGACCCGTTTTGATTTTTTTTTTTCCAATTAAAATGCAAATGTTAATGATTATTTGAATTGAAAAAGTTGTTGATTGTTAATAATGATTATAAATAGTTAATGAATATAGGATTGTTAATTGCAATACTAGAAGAATTAATTTTATTTTCTTGATAGTTGGTAAAAATAAGCGAAAGAAAGGGTAAGAATTAGTATATGAATTGTGATGATTAATATAATTAGTATTTGATAATATAATAAGTATTGGAATTCATAAATTTTATGGTTGTAAATAATTATTATGTATAGTTAAAAGATGTATGGTTGTCAATTACAATTCTGAAAATAAATAATTTTATTTTCTTGATAGCAGGCAACAATGAGCGAAAGAAGGGGCAAGGAAAAATCGAGGGTTCTCGGACGCAACGTTACAGTATCTGAGCGGAAAAAACGTCAGGAGGAGTCAGATAGACTTCGTGAGGAGGAGCGTCAGGAGAAGCTTTCGCGTCGTCAAGCTGCAGTGGTTCCTCCCACTCATAGCCATGTTTCCCAGCCGATACCAGGCATCAACACATATGATGACATGGTGGAGGATGACGATAGCAGTGATGATGAGTGTGATGTGGAGGGTGATGATGAGTTGTCTTTTCATGAGTTGTTTTTCGACGGTCATCCCGGAGGTTCGAGTGATCATGTGTCTACTGGCTCGACCCATGGCAGTACTCTTGTTGGGCCGCTACGCGGCAAGGATGGGCGTTTTGCTTCGTCCTCTGATGGGAGCAGGCCTTCACGGAAGAAACCGAGGGACGAGACGTGGCTGCTTACAAAAGAAGCTCCAGGAGGCCCTAGGGATATCAGTTTGATCCCTAGTTTCGGTGGTCACATAGCTCATCGCTTGTGGACATCGAGTTTGGATTCTCGGAAGATGTCTGTTTTCCAGTTCTACGCTCGACAGGGTGGAGTGGATCGATTGAGGACGTTTAGATGTTGGATATTTGTTAAGGTTGATGTTGGATATTTGTTAATGTTGATGTTGGATATTTTGTTAAGGTTGATGTTGGATATTTCTTAAGATTGATGTTGAATATTTCTTAAGGTACATTTGGATGTGTTATGTTTGAGTGTTTATATACTAATTAAAAATTTTAACCACTACTTATATATCTAACAAAAACACATCAAACACATCTTTTTTACCATCGGGTGGGTAGGGATTATGGCTCAACCAGCGGTCAGAAGGGTAGAAAATATGGCTCGACCTCCGGAAGGGCGGGTAGGTTATATGCCCGCACCTCCAGGAAGACGGGTTCACAACATGCTTTGTCCACGGCTAGTGCTGGAAGGGTATATTCCTGCACCATCCGTCAGGTGGGTGTCCAACATGCTTAACCCACGGTGTTCATGGGTAGGTGAAATGTTTGGTCCGTGGTGCAGGCATGTTTTCAACATGCCTAGTCTATTTTTTCAGCAACAATAATTGTGAACACAATTGATTAATTTCAACTAAATCCACATAAACTTGAACACAAAATCATTGATTAATTCCACCTAAAATCACATACATTTTAACACAAAATGTCAATCCTTGATAATTGCACCTAAATCCCAAGCATATGTCTCCTTCGTCTCATCTGAAATCAATGCGAACCCAATGTTGAAGTTCTTCTTCACCGCATAGGTTTCAACCCACCCAATCTCTCACGCCTAATTTTTGCTGTCTCATTATAAATCTGAGTCATGTTGTGATGAGCATCGTACTTCATATTGAGCAAACTTCTGATATCTTTCGCCTGAGTATGTGTTGCCTCCAACTCCTTAATATTCATTTTTTCCACCTGCGAAAGAGCATTCTTTTGCCTGCTTCCCTCAGAGTAAACCTCCAGTCTGTGATTGTGAAATCCCCTCGACTTAATCCCATGAATTCTCCACTTACACTTGCCATCTATTTTTACGGATTGCACCACCACTGGGAAACGACAACCTAACTTGCCTGTTGTAGATTTGCTCCGTGTTGTCTTTGCGGGATCAGACGTATATGAGTTGCTCCTACTACCATGGTTGCAATCCATATAGATCCGCGGATTGCCTTCTCCATCGTTTTTCTTGACTGATGCCACTATCAAAGAAAAACTATTACTCATGGCAATCTCCTTTGCCGCTTTACAAGCTTGATCACGGGTATCATAAACATCACTTAGAAACAATGATGTGCAATCAACATTGTCACCCTCATTTAACTCCGGATCCACCCTACAAGAAATACAAGGTAAAAACATTTAGTTGTGCAACAATTATGTTACGATAATTAAATTATAAAAAATAACTACTTACCGAATCATCCATAATAGTTTCCTTGTTAGTAAATGATGGTGGCACAAAATTTTTATCCTCCTTCCTAATAAACACAATTAACAACGAAACTTAATGAACATAAATATCATAATTTAAGTGAATTTTCATTAAAAAAGGTCTATGACATCACACAGTTATTCGAGCATGTTCAAAACTAGACCAGACCGAGGGACGGGCATGTTCAAAACTAGACAGACCGAGGGACGGGCATGTTGAAAACATGCTTAGACAGGAGGACGAGCATGTTGCGAGCATTCCTGGAGGATGGAACGGGCAGGTGGACAACCCGTCCGTTCCATGGCTGATGCAGGGTTTCAATATGCTTGACCACCGGTCGAGGCAGCTTTTCAACATGCTCGACTTGTTTTCCAGAAGAAAAAAAAATTGCAAACGAAATCTTACCTTTAGTCCGGAGCCCTGCATGCTATGACGATCGAGACCGACTACTTCTCTATCTCCGGCAAACTCGCCGGAATCCGGCTAAAATTTTGTCAATGTATAAGATTGTAGTTGGATTTTGTGTTGTGTGGTTTGGTTTTAATTTTTGGTTTGATATTTCTGTTTTGTGTTGGAAGAATGAGTTAAATGGGTTGGGTTAGATGGTTGGAGCATTAATTTTGGTGGTTGAACCATAAAATTAAATGAAGGGTTGTTTTGTAAATTTGTATGGTTTAGGGCGACGAAATTTAAAAATTTAGGGCGACCAATATTAACTCTCGTCTTAGTCTACTACCACAGAGGAGCTCCAAAACACCATCGTATTTAGAGAAGCTCGCGCGCACTGCTCTCTCGCTTTTTCCTTCCTCCCTGTCAGTTGGCATCAACCGTTGTTTGATGTTATGTTACTGTTGGTCCAATCCAATCCATCCCGTAAAAGAATTCCCCAATTCTAATCAAGATCGTTCATCTCTTCAAGCTCTTAGGGTTTCAGAGGGGGGCGCACCAAAGGTCCATTCAAGATCGTTCATCTCTTCAAGCTTTTAGGGTTTCAGAGGGGAGGCACACCAAAGGTCCATAGCAATCTAGGGTTCACCGGCGGAACAAAGTGCTCTTGGATTGAACAAGAAAGTTCGACGAGGGGGGAGCGAAATTCTGCGAGGAAGGGAGTTTTTGTATTGGCGAAAAAGCTATGTCGCGGAGGAGACACGACGAAGATGACGACGAGATTGAGGATGAAGAGTACGAGGACCAGGACGATCAGCTGATTGACGATGAAGAGTACGACGACGAAATGGAGAAACGGGGAAGCTCGAGCAACAGGAAGCGGTCCCGATCGAGTTTCATCGATGATGCGGCGGAGGAGGACGAGGATGAGGAGGAGGAAGACGACGATGAAGACTATGGAGGTGGTGGTGGTGGGAGCAAGAAGCGGAAGACTGCTAGAAAGGGCGCTTCTTTCTTTGATCTGGAGGCACAAGTGGATAGCGACGAAGACGAAGACGATGAAGACGGCGGAGAAGATGGTATGCGTACTAGAAGCTTATTTCTGCTTCTGTTTTCCTGTGAATTTTAATTTTATTTCCCCTCTGATTACACCTCGCATTTGGTATCTTTCTCCAGTTCGGGGTTGAATTTAGAGTTTTTAGGCTCTACTGAATTAGGGTTTGATTACCAATTGTTTGCATCAGCCTTCAGTTCTTGATGACTTTGTTGGTTCCAGGAAATCCCTAGGATACTTGTGATTCAGTGCAATTGTTAAACTGGCATGGAATAGTAACTAATACCTCCTTTGGTTTCGCTAGTCTAAGTTCTTGGCGAACTCTCAAGGTTTCGGTCAGTCTTCCTTTTAGTTCATGGTTAGCGCCCAGGTTATGCCCTTTTCTATCTGTGGTGACGACAATGCCAGTGTAGTGCATTTTTGCTGTGGTTAATAAAGTCTATGCTTATAGAAAAATGCTGGTGGAATTGGTCTGTCGTCTGGTAAGTGACTGTGAATGGTTTATTTGTTTATAACTGTTGAATGCCAAGTGGGATTTTGGTGGAGTTCTATGGGCTTTGGAGTTCAGGAAAGTTAAAAACATGTTCAAGCTGTAATTGTACTCGTTCAGTTGAATGTTGTTTTCCATAGGATATCATTGATATGGAGACTGAAACTATTACAATGCTACCCTGCTTTAACTGAAATTCGCATATTGAGCCTGTAGCTTTCATTTCAGTGACATGAAAACATTCAGCCAGTCGATTCAATGCCAATCTTTGATTGAGTTGTTTTGGTTTTAAATGAAAATAACTTTAGTGTCTATACATCTCTTGTGCACTTAAGTCAAAGGCTGCAGATCTCAGATGCGTCGTCCATTGAATAATCTATAGGCAATTGTCATGCCATTCTTATGCTGCTGCTTATTTTCCTATTGAAACTCACGAGGAAGCTCCCCTGCTAGCAAGATTCATTAGTATACATGCATTACCCAGAACATTCATTGTATTAATCCTCTCTCGTATTCTATTTCAGTTTCATTAAGTTTCACTTTCTTTATCCTGCATTTTATGTTTCTTCAGTCTTAACCATACATTGGCTGATTCTTGTTCTCAAACGCTATTAGTTGCCAAAAGTTTTATGCACTCTAATATACAATTTTCGACAAATGATTACGAGAGGACACATTTTATAATCCGTCTGAACAATCAGTTGTTAAACACTTTGTTTTAATTTTTTTGTTCATCCGTGATTGATTTGATCTTGGTGTTATTTAGTTTGAAATTTTTTATTCTGTAGCCTTGGATTAAATTTACACCAATGTACCCATCCAACCATCTGATGAAGATATATCTATTTCCGAAGTTGACAATCTTAGCTTTCTTTAAATAATTTTATCCTTTCTGTTTAATCTTTTTCCCGGCTAGTTCTCTCAAAGTATACATAATACCAGATGCGTGAAACGTCAGCATCCATATATTCCTCCTGGATCTAGATGATATCTTATGGGCCTCTATTAGACGTGGGACACATGAGAGCAATACATAGCCTTCGATTATTTGTGCCTTTTTCCCCCCCATTTTATTTCTTCTAGTCTCTTCTGGTACACTGTATTTTTGGGTGTTACATATGTGTTGACCAAGATGGCTCTTGGTGTAAATTATTTTTAATATACACGATTATTGCTAGTACATGGAGCTTAATATCGACTTTTTCACACACAGACTTCATTGTTGATGGTGGAGCTGATTTACCTGAGGAGGATGATGGTAGACGGGTACACCGTCGGCCATTGCTCTCTCGGGAAGATGATGGTGAAGATGTGGATGAAATTTACAGAAGAATTCAGGAAAGATATTCAAGAACATCTCAGGGTGAATTTGATGAAGAGACTACGGATGTAGAACAACAGGCTCTCTTGCCATCTGTACGAGATACAAAGTTTTGGATGGTGAAATGTGCGGTATGCTTTATGTCCTTTTTCGTGCACCTTGTTGATTTTTATTCTGTTCCGTGGCCTGTCTTTTAAATGTTGTGCATGAGGACTTTTCTGTATCATATAACAATGTTGTGCTCAAATATATTAGATTGGGCGTGAGCGAGAGACAGCAGTGTGCCTTATGCAGAAGTGCATTGATCGAGGTCCCGAGATGCAAATTACATCTGTTGTTGCCCTTGATCATCTCAAGAATTATATATATATTGAAGCCCACAAAGAATCCCATGTCAGGGAGGTATGCTTGTGATATGAAGCTTATAAGTCTTTTCTCCATCAAGCAAATTTGATGATTTAACACGTATTGAGCCTTTTCGTTAATTATGCATTTTTGGTTGTTTTGGCGCATTTTTCAGGCATGCAAAGGTCTTCGGAATATATTTGTTTCTTCGAAACCTATGCTTGTTCCAATCAAAGAAATGACGGATGTCCTTTCTGTTGAAAGCAAAGCAATTGACCTTGCAAGGGATACTTGGGTCAGAATGAAGATAGGAAATTACAAAGGGGACTTAGCCAAAGTATGTGTACACTTTATCCGTGTCTTTTCCTCCCCCCCCCCCCCCCCCCCCCCCCCCCCCCCCCCCCCCCCCCTAAATCATCAATTTATCGGTCATTGTCTTCTCCTGAAGGTAGTTGATGTGGATAATGTGAAGCAGAGAGTCACAGTGAAGTTAATTCCCAGAATTGACTTGCAGGCTCTTGCAAGTAAACTGGTAAAGAATTTTCTCCATGCATTTTTACTGTGTTCACTTATTCCTTTTTGCTGTTCTTGGAATGACCAATTGTTTGAGGACAAAATGAGGTTCCTTACATTGTTGTGCACAGAGCGGTTTGTATTCAATTATTCTATCAGTGTGATTAAGCTATGCAGTGTGCGCGTTTAGCATAGTTATGAGTAATCTTTCTTGTACAGGAGGGGCGAGCAGTCACAGAAAAGAAGGGAATTAAGCCTGCTCCTCGCTTTATGAATTATGATGAAGCTAGGTAGTATTGAATACTGGATCTGTTCATTGTCATGACTAAGAAAGAAGCACTCTCGGCCTCATATCTCTTAATCTGTTGTCAGGGAACTTAACATTCGTGTAGAGCGGAGAAGAGATCCAATGACAGGTGACTACTTCGAGAGTATTGAGGGCATGTTGTTCAAAGATGGTTTCTTGTACAAAACTGTGTCAATGAAATCCATTACTGCTGCGAACATTAAACCAAGTTTTGATGAACTTGAGAAGTTCCGTAAACCTGGAGAACATGGCGATGATGATATGGCCAGCTTGTCAACTTTATTTGCAAACCGGAAGAAAGGACACTTTTTGAAGGGCGATGCAGTTATCATTGTCAAAGGAGATTTAAAGAACCTCAAAGGATGGGTGGAGAAAGTTGAGGAAGATAGTGTACATATCAGACCGGAGGAGAAGGGCCTTCCTGTAAGAAGATTAAAGGCTTTCTTTGTTTAAAGTAGTACTTGTCACTTACTTTATTTTTGGGGATTTTCATATGGATTTGTTGACTTGACATCTATCATTTATTTCAGAAAACACTTACAGTACACGAGAAAGAGCTCTGCAAGTATTTTGAACCTGGTAATCATGTTAAGGTTGTGTCTGGCACTCAAGCAGGTGCAACTGGCATGGTTGTCAAGGTTGAGCAACATGTGCTCATTATTCTGTCAGATACAACCAAGGAGCATGTAAGTTGATGATCTCTAGTTCCTTGGCATAACTACCTTGAGCAGTTGTACAAAATACTTCATAATTGTTTGAGAAACTACACGTTACTCTTTGTTGACTCAGATGCGTGTATTTGCTGATGATGTTGTTGAAAGCTCAGAAGTGACTACTGGTGTTACCAAAATCGGAGACTATGAGCTTCATGATCTTGTTTTGCTGGAGTAATATTTTTGTTATCGAAGGATATATTTTCTCTTGCTATTGTAATCATCTGGGTATATTTTTTGTTAAGAAATCATTTAGGTCTTACTTGTATATTCTCTGTGTTGCAGTAATATGAGTTTTGGTGTCATAATACGTGTGGAAAGTGAAGCCTTTCAGGTGAATGTTGCTGATGTTAACTCTAACCACTGCTTATTATACTTCCAATCTTCTCATTTCTCTTGGTGTTTGCTCCAGGTTCTCAAAGGAGTTCCCGAGAGATCAGAAGTGTCACTTGTAAGATTGAGAGAGATCAAAAGCAAGATAGAAAGGAAGTCGAATGTACAAGATAGGTATGGAAGTACAATATCAGTAAAAGATGTTGTTAAAGTCCTTGATGGTTCTTGCAAGGTGAGTGTCTGTATTTTTTCTGTGCTTATCTGTTGCATGATTGTCTGTATTTTGTCTGTATTTTTCTGCAAGTCGAGCTGAATCCTTTTCTCTGTTAATAGGGGAAGCAGGGTCCCGTTGAGCACATATACAGGGGAATATTGTTCATCCATGATCGTCACCACCTTGAACATGCGGGATTCATTTGTGTTAAATCCCAAGCTTGCGGTCTTGTTGGAGGATCACGTTCCAATGGTGATAGAAATGTGAGTTCGACTGCTCCTATGTTTTATAGAATAAGGTTTTTGTTTTTAATTGATACTTTATTAAATTTATGGCATTATCTGAGCTTAAGATTGACATTGGTATACTGATTTCTTATAGGAAGCTGGAAATTGATTAAGTTGGTTTCAGTAATTTCACGCTTTAAGACTGAGTTCGATTGCTTTTTTCTCAGGGGAATGCATACTCAAGATTTGGTAATCTTAAAAACACTCCTCGGATACCCCCTTCACCTCGGAGATTTGAAAGAGGAGGCCCTTGTTTTGAGTGTAAGTAGATGATTGGGGCTTCAGTGAAACTTACCTTCTCTTATTCGATTTATTTTTTTTGTCCATCTGATCATTCCCCTATGCAAGTGAAATAAGTTTATTGTGGATGCATCATTGTCAACTTGGGATAAATCTTGTGTTTGACCATTGAATGCTGTACAGTTGGTGGAAGGGGTAGAGGAGGTAGGGGAGGGCATGATGCCTTGATAGGTACGACAATCAAGATACGGCAGGGACCTTTCAAGGGCTACCGTGGACGTGTGAAAGACATTAAAGGTCAATCGGTTCGAGTTGAGTTAGAGTCTCAAATGAAGGTGGTGACGGGCAAGTAGCTGCTTCCATCTTAGTACTGGGTTATTTTGGTTTCTGTACATCTATAATAGTTAAACTTATCACCTTGTGGGATTTGTAATTGTGTAGTTGATCGCAGTTGTATTTCTGACAACGTGGTTGTGGTTTCCACCCCATACCGGTAAAAATTCTAACATGCTTTACTAAAATCTATAGCGCTTTTCAATGTACAATCTTTGCTAACTTGTACATTTAATGTTACGTCAGTGATTCAAGTCGATATGGCATGGGAAGTGAAACCCCAATGCATCCCTCTCGAACTCCATTACATCCTTACATGACGCCTATGAGAGACTCTGGTGGTGAGTGTTGCTTTGTTTATATTCTCACTTGTCATTATGCTTCATGATAGTTACCCTTAATCCTATCCTCCATTAAATTTTCTCAATGTTGTGTCGTTGGTATTTATGTTTGCAGCCACACCCATTCACGATGGCATGAGAACACCTATGCGTGACCGAGCATGGAATCCTTATGCACCAATGAGTCCTCCGAGGTTTGGTTCTAACTCTTCATTGCCTTGTAATATCGTCTTAATATGTGCTTGGGTGTATTTCCGTATTTGCTTAATTGCTTCAAAAAAAATTTGGAAGATTTTTTAACGAAAAAGTAATTGACGGGATATTAGGTAGTTTATTTACTAAAACAATAATGACTGCGTTTTCAGAAATTGACTGTTAAGCTTTAAGAATGATTGTTATGTCAAAGAGGACGAAGTTGGCAATAACTTTAAATAATGTGTGGAAGTTAGGGTTAATAGTTGTTTTAAAGTGTTATATCGAAGAAGTGTGCTCTTGTTAGCAAGTTTGATCGAAGAAGTGCGCTTGTTTTTAGCTTTTCAGGCAACTTTTAAGCTACTTACTTTAAACCACCCTTATTGTTTAGCTGTATAATAGTTTTTTATATATTTAGCACCAGACACCTTTAGATGATATCATATGCTATATTCCAGGGATAACTGGGAAGATGGAAATCCTGGATCTTGGGGTACTAGTCCCCAGTATCAGGTTATTAGCTCATCAATTTGTTTCTAGTAAATTTGGAATTCCATTTATCTCTTGCTATTTGATGAGAAAAAGATAACATAGTTTGTTTTCTTTTGTCCAGCGAGGAAGCACCCCTTCTAGAACTTACGAAGCGCCTACCCCTGGTGGCAATTATAGTGATACTGGAACGCCAAGAGACAGTAGTTCTGCTTATGGTTTGTTGTTTGTCTTCTCAGTTGCAATTCCTTCAGTTTGAGCGATGTGGTGGATAACATACTTTGTGGTATATTCGTTTTGTAGCGAATGCTCCTAGCCCATACATGCCTTCGACTCCTGGGCAGCCTATGACACCTGGTTCAACAGCCTATCTTCCTGGAACTCCTGGGGGCCAGCCAATGACACCCGGCACTGGTGGTTTGGATGCCATGTCTCCTGTTTTAGGTTTGATATTCAGCTTACCCTGTCAATTTTACCAATGCTTATTGAGTGTAACTAGTGGTGGCAGATGAGGTGGGTTGGAAGGTTATAATGGGTTCGCTAGTTTATGGGGTTGGGATTAAATGGGTTTGTGAGTTCATGCGTGGTTGGTGATAAGGCCACACTTCAATCTGACTTGCTCTGAAGAGGATATTTAAGACATTTGTCAGGTCTAATGGCTGTTGGGCAAAGTTTATGACGTTTTGGTACTGAACTGTAAAGAGTTAGTGGGTGGTGATTAGTTTGTCATTTTACGATGTTCCTGCTGGATACAATTGCTTTGTGGTGGCATGTTTTGGCTGAGTTTGTTGTCGTCTGATGATGACCTGCAGACAACGAAGGAGGGAGTTTGATGCCAGAGATATTGGTGAATGTACATATAGGTGATGAATCTCTAGTGGGTGTTGTCCGAGAGGTGCATCCGGTAAGTTGATTGTTGTACAAGCTGCATGTTTACATTAATGCTTGCGAAGTACAAATGGTCTCCAAGAAGCTGATGATGGGTTCTTACCGTTGTGGGTGTTTGTAGGATGGAATGTGCAAGATAGGGTTGGTAGGGAATGGCGAGATGGTGACAGCGATGGCAAGCGACGTGGAGATTGTGGGGCCAAGGAAATCGGACAAGGTGAAGATAATGGGGGGAGCCCATCGAGGGTCGACCGGGAAGTTGATCGGGGTGGATGGTACGGACGGAATTGTAAAGTTAGATGACACTCTTGACGTGGTGATCCTAGACATGGTTATACTAGCTAAATTAGCTTGAGTAGTCAACGTTAGTAGAGCAGGTCTTTTTTGTTCCACCTTATTTAGTGCTTTTTAGATGTTTTGTTTTAAAATCAGGTCAAAGAAAAGATTTGTTTCAAAACTTGTCGAATTCATCTTCCAATGTTTGGTGAATAAAACCTCTTGAAAGGCATTGCTGTAGTCATTTGGATCTGCAATCCGAGTAGTTCTGAATCTACCTGGGCTAGTCGGAAGAATCTTCATGGATTCACATATTAGGGTTTCTTTTTGGACGTAAAACCTGTTACTTTCATCGACCAAAGGTCCTAACTCCTTACGCTCAAGAGAGCCATCAGTCACCTAATGTGGGTACGAGGTGAAATTGAATGCTTCAGAGTTCACAGGTTGCTTAGAAAAAAAGCTTCGTTTGTTGATGGCAGGAGTCTGAATTTTTTTGTTTAATCCCGCTCCTGCTCCTGTACTTTCGCCACCAGCAATTGGCAATCTGATTCGACCATAAGCGATACCATGTTGTTCAGGTTTGCAGCCTCAGGTTCAAGTATAAATTCAGTTAGGTTTCTCATGGAAGTTGGCATAAGGATCTCCATCAAATCTTTACGCGCCATCAACAATCTTTGGATGTGGAATCTGCAAGATGCAACTCTGCTTATGCCCGTCGACAGAGACAAGTGGACTACTACTACGTGAGGAAACTCATTCAAAAGAATCTTTATCTACAAGCAAGCATGAGTTATTTCCTTCCATCAAAGAGTTACTACACATCTTTACTTCAATTACACGCAAGACAACTGCAATTTCCCAGCTCTTCCACGTCACTCCAGTGAAGCCAGTTTGTCCTCATCCACGTCAAAAGCTTTCCTAGCTTGCTTCAGCTCTTCTTGCATGGATAGCAGTTCTGTACACCGGTTGAGCTTTGGCATGTCCTGCAGTGTTGTCAAGAGTAAAAGGACCCCAAATTATCCAAAAATGCATAAGGGTGGCGAACCATAACTGTGGCTACATCTTATTTGGCAGATAATAGACATTGTACACAATAGAGATATTCCTATTTCAGTTGAAAGTCGCAACCAAAACCATGTGACCATGCCCGAACACAAGGCTCTGAATAGTAAATCCTTCCTTTCTTCTTGCTAGCCTTAAACACCAAGAGCATGGTATTGATGACTTGACCATGACAGTACTTTTGGTTAGCGATATGACACAGACGATCAAATACATTATGAATAAGTGGTTCGCACATATTGTTAAGATGGAAAAGACTGCGGACAAGTACCTTGCGAATCAAGTAGAGGAAATCCTCCACTGATATTTTTCCTCTCTTGGATCCTATATCTTGTGCTTTATGTACCTGAAGGAACAGAAGAAGTTCCTTAATTAATAATTAGGACCCTATTACTAGAATATGCATTGAAAATTTTCCAGGCGTTAGTTACAAGCAAACTGAATGCTTACCATGTCGGTGACATACTCTACAACAATGTCTTCTACAAGTGCCACACTTTCAGGAATTGGCTGATTACGAGGAAAAAAACAGATGAATTCAAATCAAAGTAAAAACAAGCAAACAGAAAAATGGGAGAAGAATCTCTGATCTAGGAAGCTTGTAAATGAGCCGCAAAAGTCATAACAAATACCTAATTCATTACACTCTTAAGCATTTTAAAGAGGAAAACAAAGCGCTTTTACACTAAGGGCGTCACGAGATTAAAGTTGATACATAGACATACTGTATGGATATCCAGATAATCAACTGAATTTTCTCTCGGAGACTCGTCATATTAACCGAGTAATGACACCATAGCAGAATTTTCAAAGATGGCCCATCATTACTTGGCACTTAAAGCTCTCAGATTCAGGAACCTAACAATCTAGAAAGGGAACCCTGAGTACAAACTTGGAGTCGACTCATCTTGGGACATTCCTGTTCAGTTATTGAGGGTCAAATAACATATGTTTTTCTTTTTGTTTATTCTAATAGATAACCAGGCAGCAATGCAGATTCTCCCCCATGTTCTATTAGGTTTCTGGTTCACAGAAATGCAAGATACCAAAGCGGAATGAAACATCCACTTTAAGTCCCCAAATGACCCACACTAGTAAACTATTGGTGTGCCAGTTCCAAGGTTAAGTGGGTTACCGGTTATATCCCAACCCACCAATGTTTTTAGGATGCGTAGTCCGTAGGAAGACCCGCTATGAATTCACACCTCATTTCGCTACATGATCCTCAACCTTAAGCTAATGCATGATGCAGAAACTTCAAGTCTGTGATGAAGAGCAAACCTAAAAGAAAACAAGTGGGAGATATTTGAAGTACTAATGAGATGGTGAACTCACGTTAGGATCATCTCCAAACCCATACATCATGTGCTGTACTGTATAACAAGGAAGAAATTACAGGCATATCAATCATTAAACACTACTCGATAAACAAACACTGAAAGAGCGATTAAGTTAAAATTGGCTGTGGGCTTACAATCTTTCTGAAACATTCCTCGTTTCCGCTTAGTAGAGGTTTCGGAAGGCTGTGAGGGACCAGCCTTTGCAGGTTTCGAGGATTGCCCTGCAGCACCGGAGCTGCTCATCTTCTCACGTCCCTCGTTCAACTTTTCCGCGAGTTATAACAACAAGAACCCTAATTCACTGCACCTCTAGAAGGCGTAACAGAGATCTCAGCTATTACTTGAAGTGCCTCAGTCTCTCATATCAGCAACAATGAACAGAATCCGGAACTACGTAATCCAATCCTTCAGAAATTATCTTTAATCAGGCTGAACAGAGCAGAGGACCTAGGTTTTATTGGAGAAGAAGGCCAATGGCACCGGAAATTGTTCGACGGCGGTGGCAAGAGGGGGAGAGAAACAAACGGCGGGACGATTTCACAAGTTTCAACTCCAACTCCCTGTGCTATTCCGTTTATGATCCGACTCTCCGATTGACAGTGGCCAAGAGGAAGCTATTCTCGCCTTAAGCCTTATTGGCGTCACTGCAAACTTATTAGTCAGACTCACTGGGTTTACTCGTTTATATTTAGTGACGGGAAATATTTAATTTCGTAATTAATAAGATTAGTTCAATAATTCAAGTTTGATCATTCTCCGTTAGTTTCCATTAACTTTTGTTTATGTGGTTGTCAATCTTTATAGTTGACCGCTAAATGAGTGACGTGGTTATTAAAAATAAAATTTAATTTTGCTTCATAGATTAGCGGATTTGGATTTGACGATTGGGTGTGGTCATTTTGTTGTGGGTGGCGGAAGAGAAGGAAGCACGATTGGTGACGAATGAACAGGAGAAGAAGTGTGCAATCCGGCCAACAAAAATCCGTCAACCGCCACCGGCGGGATCTCCTTGACGACCTGAAACGGTGGTCCTCTACTTACCGGAGGAGAAGTGGAGGGTTCGCCGGCAGCAGGGGAACAACGAGCTTTTTGGCTTTCGATTTTTTTAGTTGTGAAAAATAGATGTAAAATGAAAAAGATTAAATTTTGTTTTTAATAGCCACATTACTCAATTAACGGTCAACTATGAAAGTTGACCGACACATCAGCAAAAGTTAACGGAGACTAACTGAGAGTGACCAAACTTGAACTATTGAACTAATCTTAGTGACCACAAATGAAATTAAATATTTGCAGTGACCAAACATGAACATTTTTAATAAATCTAGTGATCAATCTTGCAATTTACCCTTTCTTCTTTTAGTGACCAAATATGTGGGGTCCACATATTTGAAGAGTCACAAACTAACAAACATGTATATTAATGTGAGATTTGTAACATACCATGATGAGATTTTACCCATATACTCTCATGAACTTTTAAACTGGGTTAATTGCATGGTTGGTTACTGAGATTACAAAAACCGTTCTTGTTTGGTCACTCGAAATATTTAATTTCACTCGTGGTCACTAAAATTAGTTAAAGAGTCCAAATTTGGTCACTCTCCGTTAACTTTTGCTTATGTGGCAGTCAACTCTTACAATTGACCGTTAAATTTGCCACGTGGCAATTTAAAAATTAATAAAAAATCATTTTTAAAATTTTCAACTCATTATTCCAACTATTAAAAACTAAAAATTACAAAATACCTAATTTCTTTTCTTCTAATCCCCATACTCGGCTGAACCTCAACCCTCCATCTGCCGCTTCACTCACGCCGGCCACCTCTCCTACGAGATCCCCATCAATAGAAATTCCCTAAATCAAAGACAACCCAAAACCTCCCCCAAATCTCATCCCAACTCCCATCGGCCACCTCCCATGACATCCCCATCAACATAAAACTCCCCTGCCCTCCCCCCAAATCTCATCCCAAACCTTTAGTTCCTGGTAACCACCACATCCCTCCCCCCAACCCCAAAGATACCGTCTTTGTTATAAGAGCTTTGCCTTCCTCCTTGTGCCGTCGTTGCTCAGTTCAGAACAATTGCAATGGATTTTAGTCAGCCGATTCCAGAAGTTCATCACAAAAATGGCTTCAGGCAATTCAAAGCTGCAAGGTGGACACGATAGATATACAATGTCGTTGGCCGAACGACAATCACCTTATCCTTCGTTCTCCGAGAATTGGAAGGAGCGTATTTTAATTTCCAAGTTCTGGCAGGTTGTCTTTTTTATTGTATTTTTCTCACCTTCACCTTCTACTCCTTTGGTCACCTCTTTGTCCGAAATTGATGTAATTGAAGGGCCCTTCAGTGTTGATTTGCCAAAAACGTCGAGAATGGGGTCACCTGTTCGATTTTCGAGATATGAAGTAGATGCAGATAGTGGCGTGAGAGGTTATAAGGAGACGTACATAAACTCCACCATCAACTGCCGATCCATTCGTCGCCAATCGCTCTGCGATAATGGCGGGGAGATGGCGGCAATTGCGACGACAGCAGGGTTTGTCGGTAGGGTATGGGGATTAGAAGAAATTAGGTTTAATATTTTCAATAATTGTGATAATGAGGTGGAAATTTAAAAGATTAATTTTTTTATTTTTTAATTGCCACGTCACACACTTAACGGTCAACTCTAATAGTTGACTGCCACATCAGACAACGTTAACGGAGTTGGACGGAGAGTGCCAAATTTGAAATGTTTAAGTAATTTTAGTGACCACGAATGGAATTTTTAGTGACCAAACGTGAACCTTTTTAGTAAACCCGGTGACCAACTATGTAATTAACCCTTTAAAATTTTAAGTTCGCCCTCACATTTTCCTATTTTATAGAAATAATCAATGGCTAAATTGCAAATTTGGACTTGAATTACTAGTAAAGTTCACGTTTGCCACTAAAATTAATTTATTCCATCCGTAATCACTTAAATTAGGTTAACATCCAAATTTAGTCACTGACCGTTAGTCTCCGTTAACTTTTGCTGATGTGGCGTTCAACTTTCACTATTGACCGTTAAGTGAGTGACGTGGCAATTAAAAAATAATTTTTTTTATGAATCAGTGGGTTTTCATTCATCAAAAGAAAGGGTGCTAGCAACAACCTTGCTAGATAGGTAATCTGTAATATCATAGTGACTGTTCTTATCAACCTACGATCAAGTAACCAATACAGATATAGATGGCTAATCAACCCAGAATAGACAAACTCGATGAGCCCCTATCATACATTCAATTTCGGATTTAATCGTCTTCAACAGAGTATTGTAATTCATCTCCTCAGCTGAGTATAAGCGTCGACATCGCTCTCTCCATACAGGCTCACCCAGGCCTGCCAGATCAGTCTCCCTGTTTCAGCTGCCTATGAAACTCCACCTACTTTAGACATCATCAAATTCAGAACCTTATCCCATCGCTGCATAACTGGGATATGCATAAATTTAGAAAAGAGAGATTCTAACATATGACGTGTAAAAGGACAGCAGGCATATATGTGATCCCTATCCTCCACACCTGCTCCACATAAACAGCACTCCAAACTACCACCATATCTCCATCTTTGCATCTTCACTTTGGTGTTAATACTCCCTCTAACAAGCCATGTAATCACTCTGTTACGAGGGATGGCCTTGCCTTTCCAAACCAATTTCCACCATCCAACAGTCTATTGAGCAGGCCGCAATAGTTGCCAAACCCTCTTTATAGAATAAGAAGGCATAGGAGAGTCATTCAAACGAAGTTCCCCCCCCCCCCCCCCCTCTGATCGAAATAAAAGTTGCAACCTTACCCCTTAGCTTCATTATCTTGTGACAGTTCCAAGACCCTGAAGTACAAGAGTAACTGGAGAGATCTCGCCCTTTCAGTTTGTACTTGTTAATCCAAGCAACCCAAAGAGAACCTTCTTGCATAAAAATCAGCCATCAATGCCTCGTCATACATGCCTAATTCTAGCTCCACAGATCCCTAAAACTCAGAACACCTTCTCTCTTTGGATAGGTAACCTTCTTAGCTTCGTCCCAACTCCAACTCCCCAAATGAAATTACTGCATATTCTCTCCACTTCCTTAATGACTGATTTTGGCAGAGAAAAACTGACATCCAGAATTGAGTAAGGTTATATAAGACCGTACCAACAAGCTCAATCCTGCCAGCATAAGAGAGTGAATTAGCTTGCCAGCTTTTAACCTTTGCTACCATTTTATCAATCAGAGCTTGACAAGAAGACAAGCTAAGCTTCTCAGAGATCAGGGGAACACCCAGATAACGAACTGGGAACTCACCCAGTTTGTAGCCATAGCGAGATGCCCTGACTTTCCTCTCTTCCTTATCAAGACCCCAAAAAAAGACCTCACATTTGCTGGGGTTAGACTTAAGTCCAAATTTTTTTTTTAAAATTTCTCCAGAACTCGTTGCAATTCCTGTATCCCATAGTTAGATCCATCCGAGAAGACCAGAAGGTCATCCGCAAAGCAAAGATGTGTGAGCTAGATGCCTTTGCACATAGGGTGATAGGGGAATAGTCCATTGGCAGCTGATTTATCAAGCAGACATGTAAACACTTCCATTGCTATAGAGAAAAGATAAGGAGATAAAGGGTCACCTTGCCTGAACCCTTTCCTAGCTGGAAAGTAACCCACCAGACCCCCATTGAAACAAACACTCAACATAGGGGGTACACACACATACTAATCCATTTGATAAACCTTTCAGGAAACTGCATGCACCTTAACACTGGCAAAATGAATTCCCAGTCAACAGAATCGAAAGCCTTCATAAGTTCTATCTTGATAGCACATCTCGAGGAAATATTTTGATGTGAATACTTATGAACCAGCTCATGAGCCAAAAGGATGTTCTCTCCTATAAGTCTGCTTTTGACAAAAGCAGTCTGATTTTTGCTAATTAGGGAAGGAAGAAGAGGGCTAAGCCTATTAGCAATAAGTTTGGAAATGCATTTATACAATATATTGCAGCAGGAAATGGCCTAAAGTATTTCATTTCATCAAGATTAGGGACTTTAGGAACTAGGGAGAGGATAGTAGCATTTACTGGCCTAGGAATTCTATCTTGTTCAAAACAGAATTTAATGGCAGAAGTTACCTCAGCTCCAATAAGTGGCCAAGCATACTGAAAAAAGGTCGCAGAGAAACCATAAGGACCTGAGCTCTTGTCCCCATCTATTGCAAATAAGACTACTTTAATCTGATCATCAGTAAAAGGATCACACAGACCTCCCAACTGCTCTTCATTAAGCTTATGCTTCAGTAAATCATCAAAATAACTATCTGATAGCTTCACAACCTCAGGATCAACCACTCCCAAAAGAGACTCATAAAACTTGACTGCAATATGAGCCATCCCTTCCACATCATGGATTTGATCCCCTCATTTCTCAGCATTCTAATAGTGCACTTCTTCTATTTTGATCTAATTGAGCGATGGAAATAAGTAGAATTCATATCCCCAGTTTTGAGCCAGCACTCTCTTGATTTCTGCTTATAAAAACACTCTTCAGCATCCATTAGGACTTTAAGCTCCTGCCCCATCTTCCTTTTTGCTTCAAAATTAGTAGTGGAAGGGTCATTAAGGGCCAACTACTGAACTTGTTGTACCTCT